ATTTATTTATTTATTTATTTATTTATTTATTTATTTATTTATTTATTTATTTATTTATTTATTTATTTATTTATTTATTTATTTATTTATTTATTTATTTATTTATTTATTTATTTATTTATTTATTTATTTATTTATTTATTTATTTATTTATTTATTTATTTATTTATTTATTTATTTATTTATTTATTTATTTATTTATTTATTTATTTATTTATTTATTTATTTATTTATTTATTTATTTATTTATTTATTTATTTATTTATTTATTTATTTATTTATTTATTTATTTATTTATTTATTTATTTATTTATTTATTTATTTATTTATTTATTTATTTATTTATTTATTTATTTATTTATTTATTTATTTATTTATTTATTTATTTATTTATTTATTTATTTATTTATTTATTTATTTATTTATTTATTTATTTATTTATTTATTTATTTATTTATTTATTTATTTATTTATTTATTTATTTATTTATTTATTTATTTATTTATTTATTTATTTATTTATTTATTTATTTATTTATTTATTTATTTATTTATTTATTTATTTATTTATTTATTTATTTATTTATTTATTTATTTATTTATTTATTTATTTATTTATTTATTTATTTATTTATTTATTTATTTATTTATTTATTTATTTATTTATTTATTTATTTATTTATTTATTTATTTATTTATTTATTTATTTATTTATTTATTTATTTATTTATTTATTTATTTATTTATTTATTTATTTATTTATTTATTTATTTATTTATTTATTTATTTATTTATTTATTTATTTATTTATTTATTTATTTATTTATTTATTTATTTATTTATTTATTTATTTATTTATTTATTTATTTATTTATTTATTTATTTATTTATTTATTTATTTATTTATTTATTTATTTATTTATTTATTTATTTATTTATTTATTTATTTATTTATTTATTTATTTATTTATTTATTTATTTATTTATTTATTTATTTATTTATTTATTTATTTATTTATTTATTTATTTATTTATTTATTTATTTATTTATTTATTTATTTATTTATTTATTTATTTATTTATTTATTTATTTATTTATTTATTTATTTATTTATTTATTTATTTATTTATTTATTTATTTATTTATTTATTTATTTATTTATTTATTTATTTATTTATTTATTTATTTATTTATTTATTTATTTATTTATTTATTTATTTATTTATTTATTTATTTATTTATTTATTTATTTATTTATTTATTTATTTATTTATTTATTTATTTATTTATTTATTTATTTATTTATTTATTTATTTATTTATTTATTTATTTATTTATTTATTTATTTATTTATTTATTTATTTATTTATTTATTTATTTATTTATTTATTTATTTATTTATTTATTTATTTATTTATTTATTTATTTATTTATTTATTTATTTATTTATTTATTTATTTATTTATTTATTTATTTATTTATTTATTTATTTATTTATTTATTTATTTATTTATTTATTTATTTATTTATTTATTTATTTATTTATTTATTTATTTATTTATTTATTTATTTATTTATTTATTTATTTATTTATTTATTTATTTATTTATTTATTTATTTATTTATTTATTTATTTATTTATTTATTTATTTATTTATTTATTTATTTATTTATTTATTTATTTATTTATTTATTTATTTATTTAAAATCTAAAATACCAAGAAAAGACCAAATGTGTGGCTCCTTCCGTCAGGGTCTGGGAGGACGTTATGGTGCGTTGACTGTTGTAGGTGAGGCAGGGGACACAGCTGTCTGTGTGGATGGAGGGTGGGCTGCAGTACCTCGAAAGAACACAGGTTCTTTTATCATCGTGTGTGTGTGTGTGTTGAGATTTTGTCCATGCTTGATAATATAATAATATAAAAATATTTTTACAGCAACAACAGTAAGTACCAGACCAGGACAATCAGTTTTGTTTTTAAACAAATATAATTTCGGGTGAAGTTTGTGATTTTTTTTTTTTTTTTTTGCCTTTTTTTAAGGCATTTGTGATAGTGGTGTAGTCCGTCTCCAGTTTAAATCGATGAATTATGGTCACTGTCACGCAGCCACCGGCTGAAGGTGGATAAAATGGCAAAGGCCTGGCTAAACTGGTGTAACTGAGAACATGGGCATTTAAAACTGGCACACACACACACACACACAAAGTGCTTGAGAGCTGACAGTAAATAAAATGAGAGGTCCTTAATTAGCTCTCTGCCTGGGGGTGAAAATACACACGCACACACACACACACACACAAAGTGTGTCAGTCTGAGCCAGGGTTGAAGTCAAACCTGTCCAGTAAAACCAGGAAAAATCCACCACAACACTTCAATGTTTTTGTCTAAATATCATTGTATTAGCTCCAGGTTCTTTATTTGGTCGTGCTTATTCAAAAACACTCATCTTCTTTGATCTTTTTAGTCAGTTTGTTTTCATAGTTGTCTATACAGAAATATCCAGCGTCATCAGTAAGAGATCGACTGTGGACGTCCACAGGTGCAATTTAATTAGAACAATCTAGAAAACAGAAGATGGGAAAAAACAGCCAAACTTCACTTCACATTTGTCAGGTTTATTGAACAGCAGGTGTGGATTAACAAATAATATGTATTTTTCTAAAATAGTCTAGTCTTTTTAAACTCAATTTTCTCTGGGGTTTTCTCAATTTTTATTTTGAATTAAATGCACATTATCTTACATTACTTTATATTTTAAATAACGTTTGAAGGTTTTAAAATGTAATTGTTTCACACCAAAAACCTACTGATGTCTGTTTAATCCTTTTAATACGGAGTATTACTCTAGTATATGCTCTAACCCTAAACTACAATATATGAACTAGGTATTTTTTAACATTTGCAATTTTAATTTT